GACTGTGTAGTGTTCCAGGGCGGTGTAGTGTTCCAGGACTGTGTAGTGTTCCAGCGCTGTGTTCCAGGACTATGTAGTGTTCCAGGGCTGTGTTCCAGGACTGTAGTGTTCCAGGGCTGTGTAGTGTTCCAGGACTGTGTAGTGTTCCAGCGCTGTGTTCCAGGACTCTGTAGTGTTCCAGGGCTGTGTTCCAGGACTGTGTTCCAGGGCTGTGTTCCAGGACTGTGTTCCAGGACTGTGTTCCAGGGCTGTGTTCCAGGACTGTGTTCCAGGGCTGTGTTCCAGGACTGTGTTCCAGGGCTGTGTAGTGTTCCAGGACTGTGTAGTGTGTCTCAGTTAACCAGTTGGAACAAGGGTGTCCCTATTGTCCCAGTACATCAAATGGATTATCCCAAAGCGTCCCAAAAGAGTGAACTGAGCAGTGGCTGTCAGAGTGTTCCAATAGAGAGTGAGAGGAATGGAGCGTGAGTTGAAGCGTGATAGAGCAAGATAATGGAAGAGTGAGGAAATATGGATGTCATTTGGGAGAATGAGAGAGTGAGAGGGAGAGTAATAAGAAAAAGAGAGTGAGAGGAAACGGCAGATATAAAATGAGAGAACGTAACGAAAACCGGAAATGAGAAGTTATCATATCCTGGTAAATGAAATTTGACTCTTAAGTGATATCAAAGAGCTACGTCTTGAACCTGGGAAGGCATGATCGAGGCCAGAAAACTACGGGCCTTAGAGGCTATATTCGTGCCTCACACCTCACCGACATGGGCTTTACATGCTGGTTAGCATTGTAAATGTCTGGCCACGTCTGTGGTAAAAAATAATAATAATAATCTTATCGCGACAGCAGCGGTTGCGAAACTTTATATAAAGCACGAGTTCGTTCCAGTCTTGAATATGTCCCCACTGTCTTCGCTGGCCCGTCTCCTTGAGGTTACCTTACCTTACCTTATCTAACCTTACCTTACCTTACCTCCCTGCTACTTATTCCATTTCTGGTCAACGGAGAGAAGCAGGTGGCACATGTCTAGATCATCACACCCTCACCACTGAAGTCATGCTGGAGCCTTTACTGTTACGTTGAAAGGAAATATGTTTTCCACAATGGCTCAATTGAATCATCCTCATTGACAACCAAGAGTTGGCAACTGTAACACAAGGCGCTCAGCCGTCGGCAGACTTGTGTGTGAGTTGTGGCACTCTCTACATCTTCACTCTAACGATCGTTCATTGACTTGTATTTGCAACATGTTCCCTCAACAGGGAGGCCTGACGGCTGAGTGGACAGCGCTCGGGATTCGTAGTCCTGAAGTTACTGGGTTCGATCTCCGGCGGAGGCGGAAACAAATTATCAGAGTTGATTTCACTCTGATGCACCTGTTCACCTAGCAGTAAAAAGGTACCTGGGAGTTAGAAAGCTGCTACGGGCTGCTTCCTGGGGGATGTGTAACAAAAAGGAGGCCTGGTCGAGGACCGGGCCGCGAAATCATCTCACGATAGATATATCATACAGCGTGTGTGTACTCAGATACATCATACAGCGTGTGTATACTTACGATATACATCATACAGCGTGTGTGTACTCACGATAGATACATCATACAGCGTGTGTATACTCACGATATACATCATACAGCGTGTGTGTAAGATACATCATACAGCGTGTGTGTACTCACGATATACATCATACAGCGTGTGTGTACTCACGATAGATACATCATACAGCGTGTGTGTACTCACGATACACATCATACAGCGTGTGTGTACTCACAATACACATCATACAGCGTGTGTGTACTCACGATAGATACATCATACAGCGTGTGTGTACTCACGATACACATCATACAGCGTGTGTATACTCACGAAGGTACATTATACAGCGTGTGTGTACTCACGATACACATCATACAGCGTGTGTATACTCACGATATACATCATACAGCGTGTGTGTACTCACGATATACATCATACAGCGTGTGTGTACTCACAATACACATCATACAGCGTGTGTATACTCACGATATACTTCATACAGCGTGTGTGTACTCACGATATACATCATACAGCGTGTGTGTACTCACTATACACATCATACAGCGTGTGTGTACTCACGATACACATCATACAGCGTGTGTGTACTCACGATATACATCATACAGCGTGTGTGTACTCACTATATACATCATACAGCGTGTGTGTACTCACGATAGATACATCATACAGCGTGTGTGTACTCACGATATACATCATACAGCGTGTGTGTAATCACGATATACATCATACAGCGTGTGTATACTCACGAGAGCTACACCCCATGTGTCCTCCCCTCCCATCAGCGGCCCCAACAACACCCCAGACACAATTTATGTACGGAGCCGCTTGTGCAATAAACCTATCATCCAGCAAGGGTCAGATCTGGCCCAGATACACCCGGGCCAGAAGCCAACCCTTGAAAGAAGATGAAAGACAATGAAAGAAGCTCACTTCCTTCACCAAGGTCACACACACACACGCGATCCCATATATACGTCCTAATGGCCGACTAGTGTGTGTGTGTGTGTGTGTGTGTGTGTGTGTGTGTGTGTGTGTGTGTGTGTGTGTGTGTGTGTGTGTGTGTGTGTGTGTGTGTGTGTGTGTGTGTGTGTGTGTGTGTGTGTGTGTGTGTGTGTGTGTGTGTGTGTGTGTGTGTTCTCACCTATTTGTGCTTGCGGGGGTTGAGCTTTGGCTCTTTGGTCCCGCCTCTCAACTGGCAATCAACTGGTGTACAGATTCCTGAGCCTATTGGGCTCTATCATATCTACATTTGAAACTGTGTATGGAGTCAGCCTCCACCACATCACTGCCTAATGCATTCCATCCGTTAACTATTCTGACACTGAAAAAGTTCCTTCTAACGTCCCTGTGGCTCATTTGGGTACTCAGTTTCCACCTGTGTCCCCTTGTTCGCGTCCCACCAGTGTTGAATAGTTCATCCTTGTTTACCCGGTCGATTCCCCTGAGGATTTTGTAGGTTGTGATCATGTCTCCCCTTACTCTTCTGTTTTCCAGTGTAGTAAGTTGCATTTCCCGCAGCCTTTCCTCGTAACTCATGCCTCTTAGTTCTGGGACTAGCCTAGTGGCATACCTTTGGACTTTTTCCAGCTTCGTCTTGTGTTTGACAAGGTACGGGCTCCATGCTGGGGCCGCATACTCCAGGATTGGTCTTACATATGTGGTGTACAAGATTCTGAATGATTCCTTACACAGGTTCTTGAACGCTGTTCTGATGTTAGCCAGCCTCGCATATGCCGCAGACGTTATTTTTTTAATGTGGGCTTCAGGAGACAGGTTTGGTGTGATATCAACTCCTAGATCTTTCTCTCTGTTCGTTTCATTAAGTACTTCATCTCCTATTCTGTATCCTGTGTCTGGCCTCCTGTTTCCACTGCCTAGTTTCATTACTTTGCATTTACTCGGGTTGAACTTCAACAGCCATTTGTTGGACCATTCACTCAGTCTGTCTAGGTCATCTTGTAGCCTCCTACTATCATCCTCCGTTTCAATCCTCCTCATAATTTTTGCATCATCGGCAAACATTGAGAGAAACTAGTCTATACCCTCTGGGAGATCATTTACATATACCAGAAACAGTATAGGTCCAAGGACTGACCCCTGCGGGACTCCACTTGTAACGTCTCGCCAATCTGAGACCTCACCCCTCACACAGACTCGTTGTCTCCTGTTGCTTAGGTACTCCTCTATCCAATGGAGTACCTTCCCTTTCACTCCAGCCTGCATCTCCAGCTTTTTCACTAGCCTCTTGTGTGGTACTGTATCAAAGGCTTTTTGACAATCCAAAAATACGCAGTCCACCCACCCTTCTCTTTCTTGCCTTATTTTTGTTGCCTTGTCGTAGAATTCAAGTAACGCAGTGAGGCAGGACCTGCCATCCCTGAACCCATGTTGATGCTGTGTTACAAAGTTCTTTCGCTCCAGATGCTCCACTAGCTTTCTTTGCGCAATCTTCTTCATCCGCTTGCATGGTATGCAGGTTAGGGACACTGGCCTGTAGTTCAGTGCCTCCTGTCTGTCCCCTTTCTTGTATATCGGGACTACGTTAGCTGCTTTCCAAATATCTGGCAGTTCCCCTGTTGCCAGTGATTTGATATACACTATGGAAAGTGGTAGGCATGTGTGTGTGTGTGTGTGTGTGTGTGTGTGTGTGTGTGTGTGTGTGTGTGTGTGTTTACTAGTTGTGTTTTTACGGGGGTTGAGCTTTGCTCTTTCGGCCCGCCTCTCAACTGTCAATCAACTGTTTACTAACTACTTTTTTTTTTCTTTTTTCTTTTTTTTTCCACACCACACACACACATACACACACACCCCAGGAAGCAGCCCGTGACAGCTGACTAACTCCCAGGTACCTATTTACTGCTAGGTAAGAGGGGCATGCAGGGTGAAAGAAACTTTGCCCATTTGTTTCTGCCTCGTGCGGGAATCGAACCCGCGCCACAGAATTACGAATCCTGCGCGCTATCCACCAGGCTACGAAGCCCCACACCTACGAGGTGTGTGTGTGTGTGTGTGTGTGTGTGTGTGTGTGTGTGTGTGTGTGTGTGTGTGTGTGCAGGATGGGAGGGGGGGGAACGGCGTGGCGTAATTCTACAGCTCAAATGTATATTTAATGAAGGAACAGGAAATATAAATATAATTTATGTAAATAATCGAAGACACACGTCTTTCTTGTCCAAAGATTCGCCTCTTTGAGCCATTAACGGCGTTCTTCGCTAAACTATGCGCATATATTGACCCTAATGAACGCATTAACGTCATTCGCAATCAAATGCGTCGGCCGCTTCCAGGAGCTGACAAATAAATAAGAAGTTCCACGGGCTGCTTCTGGAAGCTTCGCTGAGTGACTATAATTGCTCATTAATGGCCTACTGAAACACACGTTAAATGGTCAGTGGCCATTGGCCAGGCGGGAGAGATATTGTAACGGGGGGGGGGGGGTAGTGAGTGTGTTAGGGAAGGTGGGCGGTAGAGTGCGCGGCAGTGCGGTAGAGTGCGCGGCTGTGCGGTAGAGTGCGCGGCAGTGCGGTAGAGTGCGCGGCTGTGCGGTAGAGTGCGCGGCTGTGCGGTAGAGTGCGCGGCTGTGCGGTAGAGTGCGCGGCTGTGCGGTAGAGTGCGCGGCTGTGCGGTAGAGAGCAGGGCGGTGCGGTAGAGTGCGCGGCTGTACGGTAGAGAGCGGGGCGGTGCGGTAGAGTGCGCGGCTGTACGGTAGAGAGCGGGGCGGTGCGATAGAGAGCGGGGCGGTGCGGTAGAGTGCGCGGCTGTGCGGTAGAGTGCGCGGCTGTGCGGTAGAGTGCGCGGCTGTGCGGTAGAGTGCGCGGCTGTGCGGTAGAGTGCGCGGCTGTGCGGTAGAGAGCGGGGCGGTGCGGTAGAGTGCGCGGCTGTGCGGTAGAGTGCGCGGCTGTGCGGTTGAGTGCGCGGCTGTGCGGTAGAGAGCGGGGCGGTGCGGTAGAGTGCGCGGCTGTGCGGTAGAGAGCGTTGCGGTGCGGTAGAGTGCGCGGCTGTACGGTAGAGAGCGGGGCGGTGCGATAGAGAGCGGGGCGGTGCGGTAGAGTGCGCGGCTGTGCGGTAGAGTGCGCGGCTGTGCGGTAGAGTGCGCGGCTGTGCGGTAGAGTGCGCGGCTGTGCGGTAGAGAGCGCGGCTGTGCGGTAGAGTGCGCGGCTGTGCGGTAGAGTGCGCGGCTGTGCGGTAGAGTGCGCGGCTGTGCGGTAGAGTGCGGGGCGGTGCGGTAGAGTGCGCGGCTGTGCGGTAGAGTGCGCGGCTGTGCGGTTGAGTGCGCGGCTGTGCGGTAGAGAGCGGGGCGGTGCGGTAGAGTGCGCGGCTGTGCGGTAGAGAGCGGGGCGGTGCGGTAGAGTGCGCGGCTGTACGGTAGAGAGCGGGGCGGTGCGATAGAGAGCGGGGCGGTGCGGTAGAGTGCGCGGCTGTGCGGTAGAGTGCGCGGCTGTGCGGTTGAGTGCGCGGCTGTGCGGTTGAGTGCGCGGCTGTGCGGTAGAGTGCTCGGCTGTGCGGTAGAGTGCGCGGCTGTGCGGTAGAGAGCGGGGCGGTGCGGTAGAGTGCGCGGCTGTGCGGTAGAGTGCGCGGCTGTGCGGTAGAGTGCGCGGCTGTGCGGTAGAGAGCGGGGCGGTGCGGTAGAGTGCGCGGCTGTGCGGTAGAGTGCTCGGCTGTGCGGTAGAGTGCGCGGCTGTGCGGTAGAGTGCGCGGCTGTGCGGTAGAGAGCGCGGCGGTGCGGTAGAGTGCGCGGCTGTGCGGTAGAGAGCGGGGCGGTGCGGTAGAGTGCGCGGCTGTGCGGTAGAGAGCGGGGCGGTGCGGTAGAGTGCGCGGCGGTGCGGTAGAGTGCGGGGCGGTGCGGTAGAGTGCGCGGCTGTGCGGTAGAGAGCAGGGCGGTGCGGTAGAGTGCGCGGGGCTGTGCGGTAGAGAGCGGGTCGGTGCGGTAGAGTGTGCGGCGGTGCGGTAGAGTGCGGGGCGGTGCGGTAGAGTGCGCGGCGGTGCGGTAGAGTGCGCGGCGGGGCGGTAGAGTGCGCGGCGGTGCGGTAGAGTGCGCGGTTGTGCGGTAGAGTGCGCGGCTGTGCGGTAGAGTGCGCGGCTGTGCGGTAGAGTGCGCGGCTGTGCGGTTGAGTGCGCGGCTGTGCGGTAGAGAGCGGGGCGGTGCGGTAGAGTGCGCGGCTGTGCGGTAGAGAGCGGGGCGGTGCGGTAGAGTGCGCGGCTGTACGGTAGAGAGCGGGGCGGTGCGGTAGAGTGCGCGGCTGTGCGGTAGAGTGCGCGGCTGTGCGGTAGAGTGCGCGGCTGTGCGGTAGAGAGCGGGGCGGTGCGGTAGAGTGCGCGGCTGTGCGGTAGAGTGCGCGGCTGTGCGGTAGAGTGCGCGGCGGGGCGGTAGAGTGCGCGGCTGTGCGGTAGAGTGCGCGGCTGTGCGGTAGAGTGCGCGGCTGTGCGGTAGAGTGCGGGGCGGGGCGGTAGAGTGCTGGGCAGGGCGGTAGAGTGCGCGGCGGGGCGGTAGAGTGCGCGGCTGTGCGGTAGAGTGCGCGGCGGCGCGGCAGAGTGCGGGGCGGTAGAGTGCGCGGCGGTGCGGTAGAGTGCGCGGCGGTGCGGTAGAGTGTGGGGAGGTGCGGGGCGGTGCGGTAGAGTGCGGGGCGGCGCGGCAGAGTGCGGGGAGGTGCGGTAGAGTGCGGGACGGTGCGGTAGAGTGTGGGGAGGTGCGGTAGAGTGCGGGACGATGCGGTAGAGTGCGGGGAGGTGCGGTAGAGTGCGGGTAGGTAGAGTGTTGGGCGGGGCGGTAGAGTGTGGGGCGGGGCGGTAGAGTGCGGGGCGGGGCGGTAGAGTGCGGGGCGGGGCGGTAGAGTGCGCGGCGGGGCGGTAGAGTGACTGACAGCACAGCGCGAAGGTTCATTAAGAGATATCATTGATGTCACTAACGTAACTACCGTAAGACATCAATTCGTCAACTCACACAAAGTCTGACCCTAGAAACTAATTAATTTGATGAGCTTATTTATTTATATTAGGAATATGCACTATGTGGCAAGTTGCAATCTCAAATTAGTTGCAGAATTGAACTGGGGCCAGCTGTATAGCAGAGCCTTCATATAGCTGGTTGACCTAGTTCCACCCACATCTACGTGTTATCTTGAGGTTATCTTGAGATGATTTCGGGGCTTAGCGTCCCCGCGGCCCGGTCCTCGACCAGGCCTCCTTTTTGTTACACATCCCCCAGGAAGCAGCCCGTAGCAGCTGTCTAACTCCCTGGTACCTATTTACTGCTAGGTAACAGGGGCATCAAGGTGAAAGAAACTGCCCATTTGTTTCCGCACTTTTGTATTTGTAAAATTTATGTGTATATGGGTGCGTATGTATATGTATGTATGTGTATAAATTATATGTGGAAGCTGATCAGAATTACATTTCACCATTGTAAATGCACATTAATGACACTATGTAAAGAACACATCGACCACTTTATGTAGGGCAGACGTAAATATGTGTATCTATGTGTTTATGTCTGTAGGTTAGCTTAGCATTTTAAAAGCACTACAATCACCTTCTGTGGTTGATTGTTCAATAAATCCCTGAACTATATGTTTAACAGATCTCTCACACTGTCCATGGAGGACAGAAGAAAATGTATATATGCTGGTTAGCATTGTAAATGTCTGGCCACGTCTGTGGTAGAAAATAATAATAATAATAATAATAATAATAATAATAATAATAATAATAATAATAATAATAATAATAAAATTCTGACAGTCCAGGAAGAGGCGTCCTTCCCTTCTTTGTCTTGTTCTAAAACTTCAGAAGATTCTCTTAGCTGGACTGGTCCTTTTTTGAAGTCTGAGTGGCATTTGAAGACTATTTTTTTTACATTTTATGATTTTGATATTCCCTTTCTCATCTTGATGAGCCGTAACAACCTGTTCTATTACAAATTACGTCTGAATTAAGCCGGTTTGCCCGTATGGCCGAAAACTGACGTAATTTGAAATTGAATTTTTTTTAAATATATTTGGGATTTTTTTTTCCAAAACAGCAAGGGTCCTCTGGTAGGTTAGGAGGGCAGGAAATTCTCCTAAAGTTTCAAAACGTCATGAAAAACATTAATTGAAAGTGTCCTCTCCTAACAGACTAAGCTGGAGAACCCAAACAGAAAACGGGACAGAACATCACTTTCGTGAGCAGATTTCGTGTCAAATTACGTCAGTTTTTGGCCATAGCGCGCATACCAGCGAAAAGCAAGCACTAGTCGGTAGCTTAAGAATTTCTACCCGTTTTCTTTCTGGAATATAAGTATCATATGCTTTTGATACTTATATTCGAGTCCATGAGGAGTCGTTCTTTGTTTACTGAGGTGATGTATATGTTTCTGGGAGCGCTTTACTGTGGTCTCTAGTATCCAGAGGGAAATTTGAACCAGGTCCTAATAATTTTTGCGCCCGAATCTTGCATTTTCTTCCTCATTTCGTCTGCTGTCATTCACTAGACGGTAGAGCGAGGGTCTCGCTTCATGCAGGTCGGCGTTCAATCCCCGACCGTCCAAGTGGTTGGGCACCATTCCTTTCCTCACCGTCCCATCCTAAAAATCCTTATCCTGACCCCTTCCCAGTGCTATATAGTCGTACTGGCTGGGCGCTTTCTCCTGATAGTTCCCGCCTTCCTTCCTGTTGGGTCGTAATCCTGTTGGGTCGTAATCCTGTTGGGTCGTAATCCTGTTGGGTTGGTGTAGGTCGTCCTTGTACCTGGGGGTCGAACGAGCTCAAATCTGGACATTTGTTAAACTCTAGCGTTAAGTACATCAGTCTTTCTTTATCTATCTTTATCCCAGACACTTAATCCTTTTCAACAGTGACTTCTGATACTCTTCTGATAATGGATGTGTATGTGTGTGTGTGGGGGGGGGGGGGGATTAGACCTGATTATGGGATTTTGATGTAAGCCAAGTGTACTCACCTAGTTGTGCTTGCGGGGGGTTGATCTCTGGCTCTTTGGTCCCGCCTCTCAACTGTCAATCAACTGGTGTACAGATTCCTGAGCCTACTGGGCTCTATCATATAAGTGTGTGTGTGTGTGTGTGTGTGTGTGTGTGTGTGTGTGTGTGTGTGTGTGTGTGTGTGTGTGTGTGTGTGTGTGTGTGTGTGTATGGGTATTCATGTTCGTTCTCACCTACTGTATCTTGCTATCTTGCTATCTTGCTATTGCAACCCGCAGAGTATGCAAATTAAAAGAAAAAAGACAGCATCGCCTGATAGCGGGTGGAGGCACTTAGGTATGCAAATGAGGCATTAATTCAATGATTTTTATTTGAATTTAAATTTCCTCATCGAAAGAGAGGTATCACCCATAACTAACATCTCTAGGGAGTTATAAAGTAATCATCACACAAGGAAAAATATTATTTGTGGGCTATTGAAGACAGACACGACGCGAAAAACTAAGAGATTTCATCGTTCATACTTACATTATTTGTGTCTATAAATCGTTGTTATTTTCAAACAACTTGTCAAACACGGAGGAGGAAGAAGACACTGTAAACTAAACATATGTCCAAGAGTCAGGTGTGTATATATATATATATATATATATATATATATATATATATATATATATATATATATATATATATATCACGAAAATAAACACGTGATTAAAAATGTGACAATGTCAGACCACGGAGTAAAAATGAAACAGAACTCACTTTCGTCATATATATATATATATATATATATATGGCCTAATAGCCATTTTTCAGCCTAATTCAAGGCCCGATTTGCCTTTTTTCCTGAATTAATATATTTTCTATAATTTTTTCTTATGAAATGATAAAGCTACCCTTTTCTCTATGTATGAGGTCAATTTTTTTTATTGGAGTTAAAATTAACGTAGATATATGACCGAACCTAACCAACCCTACCTAACCTAACCTAACCTATCTTTATAGGTTAGGTTAGGTTAGGTAGCCGAAAAAGCTAGGTTAGGTTAGGTTAGGTAGGTTAGGTAGACGAAAAACAATTAATTCATGAAAACTTGGCTTATTAGGCAAATCGGGCCTTGAATAGTAGGCTGAGAAGTGCGTTCTGGCTATTAGGTACGACATATATATATATATATATATATATATATATATATATATATATATATATATATATATATATATATATATATATATGTACGTGATATAACTGTTTAATACACGCACGATTTACCTGTCTCTTTTACATAAGGTGTACCTGAATGATTTACACGCGGTATACCTGTATGATTTACACACGGTATACCTGTACTCACCTAGTCCCCTGGTGTGATTTACCTAGTCCACCTGTATGATTTACACGAAGTATACCTGTACGATTTACACTCAATATACCTGAATGATTTACACGCGGTATACCTGCATGATTTACATAGGGATATACCTGCATGATTTACACGAGGTTTACCTGTATGATATACACGAGATATATCTGTATTATTTACAAGATATACCTGTATGATTTACACGGGGTATACCTGTATAATTTACACGCGGTATACCTGTATAACTTACCTGCGACTATCTGTTATTTTGACACCTGATTATCCCACGCTAATGGTGGAGATAGACAGATAGATAGAGAGATAGACAGACAAATCAAGAACCTGAAGTTACCGATAATTTATTTTTGGACAGGTAGACGGGGTTCACACATGGCGACAGGTGTGGACCACATGTGCGTGCCTCACCTCCCAACACACACACACCTACTCATCGCTGTAAAACACCTGCTCATCGTTGTAAAACACCTGCTCATCGCTGTAAAACACCTGCTCATCACTGTAAAACACCTGCTCATCGCTGTAAAACACCTGCTCATCACTGTAAAACACCTGCTCATCGCTGTAAAACACCTGCTCATCACTGTAAAACACCTGCTCATCGCTGTAAAACAACTACTCATCGCTGTAAAACACCTGCTCATCGCTGTAAAACACCAACTCATCGCTGTAAAACACCTGCTCATCGCTGTAAAACAACTACTCATCGCTGTAAAACACCTGTTCATCGCTGTAAAACACCTGCTCATCGCTGTAAAACACCTACTCATCGCTGTAAAACAACTACTCATCGCTGTAAAACACCTGCTCATCGCTGTAAAACACCTACTCATCGCTGTAAAACACCTGCTCATCGCTGTAAAACAACTACTCATCGCTGTAAAACACCTGCTCATCACTGTAAAACACCTGCTCATCGCTGTAAAACACCTGCTCATCGCTGTAAAACACCTGCTCATCGCTGTAAAACACCTACTCATCACTGTAAAACACCTGCTCATCACTGTAAAACAACTACTCATCGCTGTAAAACAACTACTCATCGCTGTAAAACACCTGCTCATCACTGTAAAACACCTGCTCATCGCTGTAAAACACCTGCTCATCGCTGTAAAACACCTGCTCATCACTGTAAAACACCTGCTCATCACTGTAAAACACCTACTCATCGCTGTAAAACACCTGCTCATCGCTGTAAAACACCTGCTCATCACTGTAAAACACCTGCTCATCGCTGTAAAACACCTGCTCATCACTGTAAAACACCTACTCATCGCTGTAAAACACCTGCTCATCGCTGTAAAACACCTGCTCATCGCTGTAAAACACCTGCTCATCGCTGTAAAACACCTGCTCATCACTGTAAAACACCTACTCATCGCTGTAAAACACCTACTCATCGCTGTAAAACACCTACTCATCGCTGTAAAACAACTACTCATCGCTGTAAAACACCTACTCATCGCTGTAAAACACCTGCTCATCGCTGTAAAACACCTGCTCATCGCTGTAAAACACCTACTCATCGCTGTAAAACACCTGCTCATCGCTGTAAAACACCTGCTCATCACTGTAAAACACCTGCTCATCGCTGTAA